GAAAAATCATTAATAGAGTCACCCATTGAGAGATTAGGAGAAACAACAGGAGATGGAATAGGAGCTAATATTGGGACAGGGGATGGAACAGGGACAGTTCTTGAGGTAATGCTGGGAGATAATACAGGAATGACAGGAGTAGAGGGATAGGTAGATGACTCACTGGTTGAAGAAGAAGTAGAAACTGAGGATTTGAGAAAAGGAAAATCAGATTCATCAAAGAGAACATGTCTTGCAAAAATGACTTGACCAGTTGGTTTTAAACATTTGTAACCTTTTTGATTTGTACAGTAGCCAATAAAGGTGCATTTTTCTGATCTAAAATTGATTTTGTGCCTGTTGTAGGGTCTTAGGTAGGGATAACATGCACATCCATAAGTCTTGAGAAAAGAGTAATCAGGTGTCTTGTGAAATAAGGTTTCAAAGGGAGACTTGTTGTCTAGGGTGGGAGTAGGTAAGCGATTTATAACATGGGTGGCAGAAATAAAGGCATCAGTCCAATACTTGGTTGGTAAGTGGGATTGAGCTAGAAGAGCTAGGCCAGTTTCAACAACATGCCTATGTTTTCTTTCGGGTTGGCCATTTTGTTGATGAGTGTAGGGACATGTGAGGCGATGAATAATGCCATGTTGTTGCAAATAGGGAGTAAGTTTGAGGTATTCTTTGCCATTATCAGTTTGGAGGGATTTGATTTTAGCATTAAGTTGTAATTCAACCATGGTTTTAAACTGAATGAATATATTGTAAGCTTGTGATTTGTTTGTCATAGGATAAAGCCAAGTGTATTTGGAAAAGGCATCTACAAATAAAATGTAGTAGTGAGCACCTGAGGAACTTGCAATAGGTGCTGGACCCCAAATGTCAGTAAGAACAAGTTCTAAGGGATTAGAGTAAACTGTAGTAGTATTAGGTAAGTGCAGTTGGTGCATTTTTGCCATACAACAAGCACAGCACAATTGTGAATCAGTTTTATTTGCATATGGTATGTTACAATGTTTAAGAACCAACTTGACAATAGGAAAAGAGGCATGAGCTAATCTTGAATGCCATAGATCTAAAGTGGAAACTTTAGAAGTATTATTACAAGCTAAGGAAGATTTAGCAGCAGAAATTGTGGGTATACGAGGTTGATGCAATTTTGAAGTAGATGCAGCAGCAACAACAAACTTTGGAGGTTTTTGTACTCCATCAAACGCATAGAGACCATTTTTAAGGTTGCCTTGGAGAAGGATCTCCTTGGTAGCCTGAGATTTGACATAGCAAATATTAGAATGGAATTCAAAAAATACTTGATTTTCCTTTGCAAATTGTGAAACACTCAACAAATTTTTGGACAAACCAGGAACATGCAGAAGATTGGACAGTTGTAAGAGTTTTTGAGCTAAAAGGAGAGTATAGAAATGAGTGACCTATGTGTTTGATTTTTAGGTTAGATCCATTACCTACTTGAACAGCATCCTGACCATTGTAAGTGGTTTTCTGCAACAGGTTGGAGGATTCTGGTGTGAAGTGATTTGTGGCTCCAGAGTCTGGATACCAGCTTGAATCAGTGAGAGAGAAATAATCAGAGGCTTCATCATCCTGTTGTTTTGCAGCAGTGTGGCTGGTCACTGCCATATTTGCTTGCATGTTGGAGAAGTTATTATGTTTTATTGAGCTTTGGTAACTCTGATTAAACCTATGATGACAATCAAGAGCCAAGTGGCCATATCTACCACAAACTTGGCATTGAGGTCTATTATAGCCTCCACTGCCATGGTACCTTCCTCCTCTTCCTCTGTAAGGTTGATAATTTCCTCTATTTGTATTTGTTTGGAATCTTCCTCTGTTCGAATTAAAACCTCCTCTATTAAAATTGGAGTTGAAACCTCCTCTTCCTCTGTTTGCAGTGTTACTGACCTGAAGTTGAGCCATATTGGCTTGAAGGCTTGATGAAAGATTTCTTCTATGCTTCTCCAACCTTTGTTCTTGAGCCATCAATAGAGCTTCTATTTCACCAACAGTATAAGGATCTGTGCGTGAAATAACTGATGTGACAAAACCATCATAATCTTCATTTAGGCCATCTAATATCGCATCTATGTGATCTTCACAACTAACAGCTGAACCACATGCAGCCAAAGAGTCCACTGTTTTCTTGATTGTGAGAAGGTATTTTGACACATCACCTTCTTTCTTTATATTCTTCAATTGCACTTTCAATTGTTTAACCTTTGCTCTCGTTTGAGACATGAAAAATTCTTCAAGTTTCTTCCAAACTTGGAATGAATTGGAACAGCCAACAACACGCATGTACATTGATTCAGACATGGATGACAGCAGCCAAGAAAGTATCAACTGATCTTGTTGAGCAGTAACAGTCGTTTGTGTATTTGTGACTTGAGGAGTTTGAGTTGCATTGTTGCCAACACTTTCTACACCTTCTTCAGTAACGGTTCTTGCAACAGGTATTGGATCTTGAACTTCTTGAGTGATGAATTTGATTAAACCATAACCTTTGATTGTAGCTAACGCTTGCTGTTTCCATGGTAGGAAATTATCTTCATCCAACTTGAAGGAAACTGGATTGGAGAAAGTATGAACAGAGCTTTGCACAGCACGATTTGAGTCCATGGATCAGATTTAGCTCTGATACCATGTTAAGAACCTTGAGGTCACCACCCCAAAAGCTAGCTCAAGGGGTGGGAGTGCCCAAGGCCTTATAAAGGCCATATTAGTTGCTCATCCAATCAATGTGGGACTATATATCTCAACAAGTGGACTCTCAATTGGCATTTTGTTTAGTTACTGGCCAATGTGAAAAACATCATCCTCTTGCTCTACTTGTTCACTAAATCCAGAGAATGCTTCGTGGACCTTGGACGACCAAGTTATGGCATACTCTTCGTGAAGGAAACATGGCTGTTGATACCCTTGCCTCTCTAGGGAGTGAGTTAACGGATCGGGATCTGCATGTTTGCAATATGCCTCCTAGTGAGTGCAAGGACTTTCTAACGAGGGATTGGATAGGCACTTGTAGCCCAAGGTTATGTAATTTGTCTTAGTATTTTGTTTCCCTATTATTAAGAAAAAAAACGAAACAAACACACAAAGTGGATAGAGAATAATCACATAAATAGATATACAACATCAATAACAACTGACAAGGCTTTGATAGCCATCACTAATCTTGCAAAGGGAAGCAAGAACAATTCTCAAGTCAATTAATATCCGCTTAATTATCGGACATAAACTTCAAAGTTTGGTAAGTGGGCTAATAGTGCTATTCTTGAAAGAAAGAAAAATTCATAACGTGCAAGGTAGTTAAAAATGAGATTTTAAGTAAAAAAAAAAAGGAGATAAAAAATTGTAAAACGTAAAATCGTAACGTAAAAAGTTTGTAAAATGTAAAAGCGCTTAGAATATTGGTAAAAATATTTTAATGAAAAAGATCGTAAAAATTTAGTGATAAATCAAAATTTTAACTACTATTACTTTTTTTTAGTAATGTAATGTGTACTATTTTTAAATTATCTCAGTTTTGTTTTTGAGTTCTCACAATTGAAGTGTAAAACATATTATCCAAGTTATATTTTTACTAGAGAACAACAACATAACTTTTTATCTAATTTTTCTCCTTTATCTTTCCCTCAAAAAAATTACATATGAAAAATAATGTGTAAACCTTTTCGATTCAGCTATAAACGGAGAAACCCCATTCATCTCCTTCGAAAATGAACCACATTTAGTAAGAAATGCGAAAATGTGCTTGTCTATGTGGCAATCCATTTTACAATACTTTGTGTCGTTTGTATAATTAATGAGCTTATGGATCCAAGGGGTATGCCCTTTTTTCTTTGGCTGAAGTTAGAAGTGATGAGAAACTTCACTGTTCTAATATTGATTGGACTCAGAGCCTTACTAGCCCGAAATAATGACTATAGAATGACTATAGACCCATCTCAAAAGCTCTATCTCAAATTAGAACACTTTATTTTCATTAACGTCTAATAAATTTTTTATCAAAGCAATCCCCATTCTTTTTACCTTGAAGTGGATATGTTGCACATCATCTATGCACAGAGCTTTCAGATCAAACTATCTTTATATGAGTCAATATTTCTAAATTTTATCTTCCTAACCTCATTTTCAACTCTAGTTTTTGTTGCAAAACCTCCAACCTCTAGTGCTAGCTCATCAGTCCCCTCATTAATTTTGTGTTGGGTAAGTGATTTTGGGGCCTTGTTCCAAGGACCTGTACCTTGCATAAAGATAAATAAATGAAGAGTGTTACTAGGGTAGACAAAATGGGTGTCAGGCCAAGTTTTACAACTCGTTAATCTGTCTAACTCAAGTTTTTTGTTTTCTTTTAATGTAAAATATGTTTGGTTTGAGAGGTTGAGTTTTTCAATCCATTCTAGAAAATAAATAAGGCGGGACGAGACAGATTAACTTATTTTTTAGTGGATTGATAGTGAGGCGGGACGGACGACTTGCTTTGTCATCTCTAAATGTTAAGGAAACCAGATTAACAACTCGAATGCAGAAAGGGAAGTGGGTAGGAACTACACTACCAACATGGAGGGTTATCTTATCATAAAAATTAAGGAGATTATTATTGTACAAAAATGATATTATGTTAGGTGGATAAAAAAAATATTAAATCAAACACATATTGCCAAATAGGATTTGTTAGCCACCTCAGCTAAAACTAAATGGTATTCAGAAGGTAAGATATTTCAAGAGTCAAGTATGATCATAGCAAGGTAGTGTAAATAAAGGGGAGGATTTAAAAAAATAAAAATAAAATGTCATGAACAAAAATCCAAATCGGATGAAAGTGTACAACCAATTTTTTTTTTTTTTTTTTGGATACAATTACAACCAATTACTTTTATTCAAGTATATTGAGTATTTTGTTAGAAGTTATTTAGTTAATAAGGAAAAACAAAAGGGCAAAAAATCAATGGCTTTCGGCTGGTACGACGTAAAATTGTAAAGTGCCTCGCATGGTTCGTGAAGGTCGAGGTTGAGAGGGAACAACACAAGTCACAAAGTGAAGGAAAATGGTAATAGTTGTTTTGTTTTTGTAATTGTTGGTGTGGGAAATGAAATGAAATCTCTAACGCTCTTCAGCTCCCGATTCTCCCGCATGCCTCAATGACCGATTTTTCCGGTCACCCGGTCGTGTTAACGTAAGCTATTTGTAAGCTCTCTCTCTCTCTCTCTCTGAATCTGCCATTGCCAAACAACCTGTCATTCCATCATTCTACACCTTTAGCTTGTGAACCTTTTTAGTTACATATTGGGCTTCATCTTTTGGGTGAGTTTCCAACTTTCTATTCTTCCCTCTTTTATTATTATTATTATCATTATTTTTCTTTTCCCTTTGCCAGCTCTTCCTGAAATTTTCACATTCTCTGTCTTTCTCCTTTTCAACACTCAAACGTTGTTGATAAAGGGTATGAATCTTGGAACTGCATGTTGTTGTTGTTGGTCAATTTGTTTCATTTATTGTTATAATCACATTTCTTCATTGGGTCATGAGATGTGAGCGGATCAATTTCTATCTATGTGCTCTTCCATTTCCTTGTCAATTGTGGACGGTGGTAGTGTCAAAATGAATATAAATTACACAAGATGGGTGGATTGAAATTGATACAAACAAGGAACAAAAGTGTTTTTTTTTTTTTTTGGTGGTTTTATTTTTGGAATTAATCTTTTTTGTAAACAATGAGAGAGATAATTGAAGGGCATTGTGGTTAACTATGTAATGTGCAGGATGGGCAGGGTAAAGCTAAAGATAAAGAGGCTGGAGAATACCAATGGCCGCCAGGCAACATATGCTAAAAGGAAGAATGGAATCATGAAAAAAGCTACTGAGTTATCTATACTTTGCGATATAGATATTATACTTCTCATGTTCTCACCAACTGGAAAGCCTTCATTATGCAGGGGGAGGCGCAGGTACCCTTTTGTGTGTGTGTGTGTGTGTGTCTAGATAATTATATTTTTACTTTAGAATCTGCATAACCTACCATTCAAATGGGTTTAATACACCAAATTTTTGTTCATCATAATTACTTTCTTAGTTATTATTAGAGCAGTCAAGGATATGACTGAATAAATCAACAAGAATAGTTAAGATGGACAAAATTATGTGGACATCTGAAGTCCATGATATTAGTGGTGGAAATTATTTATTGCCTGTTTCTACTTTCTGGCCCTCTTGAACTATCTGGCTGGTGGAAATTTGGTCAATAAGAAAATTCTCAAAAAATATATAAAATAAATACGTTTTAATATCTTGAAAATATAAATGCATTCAATACTCTCTTTATCTAGTATTTAGCAGGATCATTAGGAAGATTTAGAATCATTCATTAAGAGTTGTATTTTAGTTTTGTATGGATGATTTGATTTGATAAGGTATGTTCTGTTCTGTTAAACATTATTTATGCTAGTTCTTTCAATTCTTCCCAAATTGTCCCAATAGTTGTATAAGGATTTTGAAACTTTGAAATCCTAGGTTAGAAACCATAGGGTGGGGGTTGGCTTTATTAAAATCTGAGATCCAATTAAACATGTCATGTTCCTCATTTACTTCTTTCATTACAGAAACTACCAAACTTCTTTTTTTTTTTTTTTTTGATAACAACTACCAAACTTCTTTAACTAAAATAATAGATGTACGTAGACCAATATGAAGCAGGGTTTTTTTTTCCTACAATTCTTCTAAAGGCCTCCAAATAATGTGTTCGTTGAGTCAACTTGTATGTATGTAGAGCTAGATACTGACACATGATTGCTTAAACTTTTCCTTTTCTGTTGTCCTTATTTTACAAGCTATAATTGGAAAATTATATGTTGTTATTTTAAAATATTGCTATTTGTCTGATTATTCACTGCCCCTCTTTGGTGGATGTAGTAACTTCGAGGAGGTTATTGCAAAGTTTGCTCAACTAACTCCACAGGAAAGGGCAAAAAGGTGCAGTTAAAATCCTTTCATATATATATAATGCATCATTCCTAGTAATACAATATTTTAACAAAATGTTTTCCAATGAATTGCAACAGGAAGTTGGAAAGTCTTGAGGTAAGTCATTTCTTACAACTCAGTCACCATAGTCCGAACTAAAATATACTTTTTTCTTTATCTCTTTTTGAAAGCAGTTATTGTTATGATTACCATTATTCTTATTAATGAATTGTTTCCATTTGAGAATTTAGGCACTAAAGAAAACATTTAAGAAGTTAGATCACGATGTGAATATACAAGAATTTCTGGGTACGAGGTATGCCATGCTGACACTAATTTAGTGATTGTTCGTTCCTTTAATAGATTTAATCATCTATGTAACTAAGTTGAGATACTGAAACATTCTTCTTCTTATTCCTTTTTTTTTTTTTTACAGTAGTCAAACTATTGAGGTACGCCCTGCAGTTAAACAATCTCAGTTACTTGACTCATTTGTTCTGTCATTGATATAAATCACTTATATGCTTTATGCAGGACCTTAGTAATCAAGCTAGGCTATTACGGACTCAAATTTCTGAAATCCATGAAAGATTAAGGTGGATCACTTTTTTCTTTTCCCAACCTTTGTTTTCTTTAGCTATATATTCATAAACTAGTGAATCTCCTGTGGCTGCAAGCTATTCTTTACAAATTTAATTTATTGTTGGATTATGCAGTCATTGGGCCGAGTTTGATAAAATAAGCAGTGTGGAGCAATTGGGACAGATGGAAAATTCACTAAGGGAGTCAATTAATGAAATTCGAACCCGTAAGGTATGCAGCTTTTTATCCTGTTCCTTGATCTTCTTTGCAAAGGATATATTTAATTATTTATGGTTCAGTTTAGCATCACGGTTCTGAAGGTAGTTGATGATTTTGTTTATGATTTCTTGTTGACGAATACTAAGAAATATATTTGTTTTATTTGGCTCTTATCCTGTCTAAGTGAATAAATTCATTGAAAGGATTTGATATAAATCACGAATACTAAAATCTCTGTCTTATGTGGCAGGAAAATACAAAAAAGCAACAACTTGTTTCGCTGCAATGCAATAACCAGGTAAAGAATTGATTAGGTGGTAATTAATATTCTTTTCTAAAATTGTTTTGCATAGTATAGACATTGGAGACATGATTAAAATATCTTTACCTTCCAGTTCAATGAAATGAATATTCCCTTCAGAATGAGTGCAGAGCAGCATCTGCAACCTCTAGCATGGATTGCTAATGGTGACAGCCAAAATATAGTTTTACCTGAGGACTCAAACATATTTCTCCACAAGTGAGGTTTTTTTTTTTTTTTTTCAAAGTAAATATATTTAATGCTTCAATACTCGTTCTTCCACAATCTTCCGAGTTGCTTAACCTACTCACATAGTTATTGTGAGAAATATTTTATTGCAAGGATGTAAGGTGAATATATTGTGGTATCAAACTCAATTGTTTAATCAGAACAATGTTTTAACTGAAATGATCAATTACATTTACATGTGCTCTTCTATGTTTGATTTCGTACAAATGACACACAGTAGGTGATGATGATGTTTTGTAGATATTCTTTTGGGTTTAATATTTGTAACACCAATTATTTGCCTATTTTTCAGAGATGTAGAGGGATCAGCAAGTTCATCTTTTGGGAGTTACGCTAGTTATCTTGGCTCAAGTAGCAAAACCGATATTTCTAACTCCGGGCAAGAAAATGGTGTCCTTAGTGACTTGAGCAGTACTGCTCCTATGAGACTTCAATTCAACGGGCAGTTTCCATACATGCCATACAATTTTAACTTAATGAATAATTTGAAGTTCCAACCAGCTGCAGAGATCAACCCACATGAAAACCCTGTAGATTATCATATTAATGGAAGCTTTGAAGCCCCTAGGCCGGGTTATGACTCTAACCACCATGGATGGGCTTCCACATCAGGACCTTGTGCTGTTACTATGTTTGATGAGCATTTGTATGCCCAGGCAAGTTTCACCAAAGCGCACTTTGGCGTCACATAGTAACACCTTTCTCTAATATATTTATTTTTTCTGGCTTTCTTGTTGCATGACTTCCTTGTGAATAGTTGCACCTTTTGATAGCTTACTAGAAACATTAGTAACTTACAAGAGAGACAGAAAGTGTAATGCTCATCAAGAAAAATGCTTTCTTTCTTTCTTTCTTTTAGCCCACGAGCTTCATATATTTTCAGTCTAGAGCTTCCATGTGTTGTGTGTATAGGAGTGACCAAAGAATTTTGAATATGGCTAAACCAAAGTCACCATAATATATCAAGTTATTCTAGACAGTTTTCACTGATGATATCACCTGATATCAATTTGTTGGTTCTAATTTTTTAAATATTTAAATTGAATAGTATTTAAACTTTCTGTTGTTTTGTTCAATGAATTTCTAAATATAGAATGTTGCAGCAGTTAGCTCTTATCTTCTGCATGTGATTTTTTGACCTCCATTGATAATATGCAATGCAAAAAAATTTCTTCTAGAACCCTGCAAATAACTTATGTACCAATCCTCCCCCACCCCTATTCTCATGTCTGATACTACCAACTTGTAATTCAACTATGCCTCAAGTACTTGAAACTTCACTTTTCTTATAAATTTCTATTTTCTGAATGCAGCAGCCAAACTAGTTCACTATGGTTTTCGCCATCCATCTACTAATGAGGTTGCTAGAGAACTTCAGTCACACTTGAGAAACTTAACATTCTCGGTGAATTTTACCACAGTGGATGTGTTTTATATGCAAATATAGGAAGTAACCAGCCAATTTTTTATGTGACTTCAGTACAGCAGCTAAGCCTCCCTTGATGCCGTTCATTCACTGATTGAGCTGAGTTAAGGATGAGGCAGAGGAATGTTACATTAGATCTTCTTAATAATTACCATTAATAGGTTCTTTGGGGTTGTTTCTGCTTCCACCTTGTCTCGGGTGTGAAGGTTACCGCCAGAAAGCATGCTACATTTCTTCTTCCTTACATGGTTTATAGTTGTATGTAAGATCACATACAGCACAGTAGAAATTCAGAGTCAAATGGATTGCCTTTTTGTCCAAAACTCATTCTGTATCTGCTTGTAAATAATGCGTTTTCAGTTTGTTTACGTGTCTATAAATAGTGTCACTTGCAATGGACTTTACTGTATTTTGAAATAAAAAACATAACTTATCAGATATCCAATTTTCTTGTGATTGTAACATTTTATGTAAGGAATCAAATCACTCCAGTGGGTAGAGTTCGAATAGAAGGTTTTGGATAAATTTGTGTTTTTGGGTGGGCTTTGATTTCAATACTACTTTCTTACAAAACCCAAAATTCCCAATAGACAAGTTAATTGAATAATCTAACCTATTACACATGGTGAGTGATTTACCACAGCACATTCTTTCAAGTTCTTTTCTCTCCAGCATTTTGTAAAATTGTTGGATTAAATCGGAAGTGAGCCACTAATAAATCCTTTTTCTTCACAATTGGATTTATTTCAAGACTAAATTAAAGTTCTTAACTAAGGATTAAGAGTGAAGATAATCCTTTTTTTATTTTCTGGACGAAATGAAGATAGTCGTTTCATTGTAACAAAGGCCAAAAACATTTGGCTTTCTTTAATTGAAAAAATGCAAATCGAAGTTTTGTTTTATGCCAACAGGTAGGTGCACAGTTAAGATTCTTGTAGACTATATAGCCTTTAACATAAAAAATTTGGTAGTATTTATACAAAAATGACACGTTATGATTTAGCGGGCAAAAAATAAGAGAAGGGGGGGGGGGGGGGGGGGGGGGGGGGGGTGTTCATTTTTTCAAAGGTCTACTACTGGTTAAATGTTGAGAGCTTCAATTCTTAGACCTATCTTTTACAGGGTTCGGGTTTTGTACTAATAATGTATGTGCCAATTCGGATACGCTGTCTCAATCTGTATTTCCTTAGTCAGATCCAAAACGTGAGCCTAAAATTGTCTTTCAACTTCATGTGTGACCCCAAGTTAAGCCTTGAGAACCATTCTCCTAACCAATCTTACAGAGTTTTAATTTGCTTCTCTTTTCAGCCAAAAAAAAAAAAAAAAAAAAGGATCACTTCATTTTTTCATTATTTCTCCAAACAGTACAGATGGAATACTAATAATGAATGTAACTCTTGCCAATAAGAAATGAACCAAACACGGGGTAGTACTAGTAAATTACTTAAACTTTCCATCAGGAAAATTTACACTTACAGTCCTTAATACAAGACAAGGACAAACTCAGCCAAGGCTGATTACAAAGGATTAGCAAGCAAACGATGCTTATAACACTCCCAAGATGATGAAAAAAGACACTACCCCAATACTATTAGTGGCGGGTGGTATCACAATCCACCTCTTCCAATTTAGTATTTCACCCACAAAAGCACAAAAAGTACTACTCTTCTAGCAGCAGAAGGTTCAAAAAAACTTTTGAAAAGTGAAAAACGAAAACAACCCCCTAATAAATAGGGCCCTAAAAATAGGTCCTACCCGGTAACACAATCGAATTAAAATGAAGGGCAATTTTAAAATTAGCCCTTCGCTGACCCTTAGAATTCCAAAACTGACCCCATACTTAGTAGCATACCATCTAATACCCTAGTACACTATTGAGTCATACTAATACTTGAACTGAAGATTTAGTACATACTATATATGTATAGTATTTGTAAACACTTGACATAGTCTAAAGGAATTGAGCACCAGCGTAGGTTTGGCCAAAGGACCAGCCAGCTGGTGCAACATTATAGGAGACCACACTACGGCCATCACTGGTGACCACCTTAAAGGACAGGCTTTGACCATTAAGATAGTTGTTGCTCTGCCAGTTCTGACCCCAGTTCCTTGACATTGGCATCCAACCAGTTCTGGACCCTTTAACAGCCACAGCATGTACATCCCCAGCACCACCAACATTTGTTACCAGGACTAGGTTGAAGTAGGAATGTCCATTTATAGTGAATCGGATACCTCCCCTTCTCCTGCAGGGCACCCTACACAAACCAACCAAAAAAGAGTTAAAAATAAGCACACAACTTAGTTTGTTACTAATACAATATATTAATATTGTAGGAAAGTTACATATTTATATGAAAATTATATGAAGATGTGAGATAAGAACCCCCAAAATTATATCAAGCAAACTAACTACCTTCTATAGGACACAGGCACGATCCCAGCTCTATATTGGGCAATACGCTGGAAAACAGGTTGAGAGAGATCAAAATGTTGAAGAGGAGGGTTACACCAACCCCCTGCATTGTTGGGCAAGGCATTGTTTGGTGGACAGAAGTTGGTGGCAGTGACCATGATGGAGCCAGGGAGGCACCACCTATGGTCATTCGCACACCTAATCTCATAACAAGATCCACAGCTCAACCCATTGTTGAACAAAGCAGTGCTCAGAGCAGCAGTGTTTGTTCCATACCCCTGACTGTAGAGGTTCCCATATCCACAAGCCCCACCTGCACAAATTCCATCAACCAACAAATCAGTCCAATTGAATGCTCTAAGATGCTTCAAGATCTGCATTTTACAGAGAAAAAAAAAATGGATTTTTTTTTCAAATAGTGCTTTAATTGCTACATTAGACATAGTGCATATGCATACCCATTGTCCCTGATGCATCACTCCCTCCATAGAAGGTAGCATGAGCATCAATCCACCCTCCACCATTGGCCTTAGCAGATGAGAACATTGTGAGAAAACCCATCAAGATCAACCCAACAAGAGCCATTCTCCTGAGCATATACAACACAAAACAAAACAAAAAAAGAAAAATCAGATATTTCCATCTTACAACATTTATTTAGCAGAAGATGTACTCGTTAGCCTTCAAATGATGAAGCAATATCAGGAAGATATGAAAAAGGCAATTACTTTGATAATGATGAGTCAAAAGATACAGAGACAAGGCAATGTGAAGCAGATGAGTGAAGAAAGTAAGAGGGAGTGCCACCTAATTTATAGAACCTTGAGGGGTTGATGGATAGGTACTTAGGTAGTATGGGGCCACAGTCACAACTTTAACTAACTCTTTAGAACTGTTACGACCAAAAACCGCTGAGGGTATTATTAATGCCTTAAAACAGTGAAAGTTATCAAGGGTTCCATTCTTTATGTTGCAAAGGCTGTTTTTGTGGCTTGAAATCGTGTGGTTCAGGAGGCTTCTGAGCGGGAAAATCTCCAAAATCCATGTGGGGCATAGCGGTTTTGGCTCTGATGACTAGCCAGCTTTCAGATGCACATGCAAGTATGAAGTATCAACCATTTGCCGCAAATACCCTTTTTCCTTTTCAACTTTGGTTCCACCTTCTCTCTGCTTTTCTTACTCCTATTATCATTACTATTATTATTATTATTAGAGGAGGGATATTCTCACTCTGTCAAAAATTTTCACTGCTAACTTAGTACTTATTTAATTATCATTAGATTAATATTTTCTCTCTCTTCAATTTTTTTTTAACATTCTCTCTCTTTGATCCAATGGTGATGTGATTGGTAGTAAGTTAGTAGTAAGAATTTTTGGTAGTCAGAATATCCTTACTTTTATTATTATGAATTTTATTAATCTCATAAGTTATTTTATGTCATATAAATAAATTTGTGAGCTCAATTATTTAATAAATAAAAAGAAAAAAAAAAGTGGCACAGTTATAGTTATTGAAGAGTGTGTAAAAGAGAAATTTATCACATGTAATATAAGAATAATTTTTTTCTATTATTATCCTAACAATGTAATTTTTGACTCTTGTTTTAAACATATATTTTTACTATTAAGTCATCAAAAAATATATATGTTAAAAAATATAAAAATAGTATTGGTGGTGTTTGTGTTGTCATTTTCAAAACTCTCTCCTTCACTCTTCACTCTTCACTGCTTTTCTGATTTTCTCTCTCTAGCTTTTTTAGACAGACACAGGTAGAACCACAATTCAGAGCTGCTAAGAATACGGCCAAGAGGTTGGTAGATTTAATACACAAATTCCTTTCTGCAAGCCAATTACTTTTCATTTTTGACTTCCATAAATGCTGAAGATAAATTCAGTTTTAATTTTTGAACTATGTATATTTTTTAGTTTTTAAGGAATTTTTTATAAGATTTGAAATTTCTCTAAAATTCAATATTTTTTTGTTGACATTTAATGTCTCTCATATTATAGAAGATAAAATTATCCCCAACACATATAAAAGTATGAGACTCATATTTTATTTTTCTCATTTTTCTTTTTACATAGACCTCACATATTTTTATATATATATATATATAATAATTTTATTTCTTTCAATAAGAGAAACATTAATCCATTTTTTGTGGAGATGGGAACATTCAATAAATAGTTAATTATACACAAATGTAATAATGGATTAAAATTGTAAATGTTCGTAGTAACACTATTTAAGCTATCAAGAATAAAAACAAAATAACAGTAAATTTGTTATAATATGAAAAATAATAACTCTACTCAATTTTAACCCCAGATAATAAATATCGTAGGTTCGCGGCTATTAAACACTATAGCCCCTACCACCGGGTTTCCTGTCTCCTCTATATTAATGGAGGGTAGATATGAATCTGAACATGTTCTGTTACAGTTAATGACTCTTATACCAAAGTACACAGCAGAAAAATTAATGCAACCAAAGCTACCCATCACAAAGTTTATGACATTTTGAGCCAGTTGAAGAAAACCCATTTAGTTGAAGTTTCTAGCTTCTTTCCTTTTTTTTTTTAATATTCATTTATTAATTTCCAATTTTGTACGTTGAAAAGAGCTATCTAAAATCAGAGAAGAGAATAAGATCTTCCTCTGCATTTATGCAACCCCTGACCAACACTATATGTGCCCATCTGGTTGTTTGTATATTTGTGTATGTTTTTCAACTTTGCAATAAATAATTTAACGTTGATTATTGAGTGCACAAATCATGAATCTTTGTAGATAAGATCTGCATGGAAAACGATCAACTTGATTTGAAGTTTACGAGGAAGTGATATGTAAACCGCGATTCTCGGCATTAGTGTTTTTTTTATAATTACAATTGAAGACTTATTGTGTTTCACGGCCTGCACAACTACTAGTCAAGGAGAAACCTTGTGCACATTTTAAATTATTGTATTCAACAAATATTTTAACCTACAAGTTTATGAGAAAACAATTTTATTGAAATAATGTTGGATTTAGCAACCACATGTTGTTTCTCGACATGCAGGAGAGCAAATTTCCACCTAGATTAGAATTTAGAACAGGAACTGAAAGTTAAGCTTTTATCATCAAGGATCAAGATCAATGTACCCTTGTTACAATATGCAATCAAGAAAGAGAGTCTGTTTGGATGGATTTTATTTATCTCCAAAAGCTATTTTTTTTTAATAAAAAAAAGCAATTCTCACTATAAATTTATTTGGATGTCTGCTTTAAAAAAAAGTTTAAATTACAAAAAAAAACTAAAAGCCTATTTTTTTATTAAAGCTAGAAATTTTAGCTTATAAAAAAACAGAAGTCAAAAGCTAAATACTTTTTCAAAAATTAAATATTTTTTTTAAAATTTAAATAATTTTAATTTTTGTAAAAAGTCCTTCTAAAATAAGCAAGTTATAAAAGCTACTTTTTTTTTTTAAAAGGCCAAACAAATGGCTTGGTTAGAGAACTTGTCCAATGTGTTACAGAACCATTCAAATATCTTAGAATTCTTCTAATAGCCTTCCAAATTTTTTAAAGGCAATTCCATATGTAGATGGAATTAATCTATGTCTTAATGAAAAATACATGCATCATTAACCACTATACCATAATTATATGTTTATTATTATATAAATCTGGGTCAAAACCAATAAGCTAATAATTTAGAATCCCAACCGACTTGATGATTGCTCCCGGACTAATAACATTATTTTTCGGTATTCATACAAAAGTTGTTACATGAATTGACATATCTTGTAAAAACTGAAATAGAGTTGTTGAACTTACTTATTATGATTTATCGTCGCTTAGCCCATTAACAATGATCTCAATGCTATGGGCTCCCATTGTTCAAGCAGTGATAATATTAGAGTTAATGATTTGAATGGGCAGACCACATAGTTTGTTGAGCTAAGTATTTGGGGGTGATTTGTGCAGTTCGAGTTTATTGTTTTTCCAAGCCCAAGTTGTATAGTCAAGCAAGACTTGATAAGTGTAGCCAAGACTTGGTTAATAACCAAATAAATACTTAAAGAAGCTTTCGCTTGAGGTGGAGTGGACATATGTTGAAACTCACACTTAAGTCGGAGAAAGTTGGAATTCAAGTATGAGTGATGAAGATCTACATTGGTTTGGAATTGATTAAGTGAGGATCATATAAGTGGAAAGATCTATGGACTCAAAGCCTTAAGGTCTTAGGTTGAGACATAATGTTGAATCAAGTCATTATGTTGAATTGTCGCTTAACCCATTGGTGATAGTCTTCCTGCCGTGGGCTCTTTCTGACCGAATAACACTTTATCTCATTTATAATTTTTTTTGACTATGTCATTTCTTACATTGTGCAAATTATAATAATCCGAATAATTAATTTAGGTAATTGAGAATTTATATGTAATTAAAGGTTTAAATAGATGAAAATCTAAGTTTATGATTAAGTCACCTTATGGGGTAAAAGTGCAAATATTAAAAGTTTTGGGGCAAAAGTGTCATTATGCAAAGTTAATAAGACCCAAAAATAAACAAAGTGTTACACACTTTATCTAAACCAAAACAGGCCAAAGAAATTGAAACTTAAGTGGTTTAGATCATGAAATATGAGAGAAGGAAATGAGAGGGGCAAAATAATATTTTTCCCACTCAAGATATTTTGGTAAAACTTGTCAAGAACCCTCTCTATCTATTTATTCTTTTCTCTCCATCGATTCCACCTGTCATCCTCTTCTTCATTTTCGTGACTTTCTCTCCAAAAAAGAAAATACTTTATTGCTTATCCTTCCAAACTCAAAAGTCCAAGTGAGACCAGTACCCACTCACTTTCATCCTTGAAACAACCATGAAACTAGGAAGTGAGAAAATCCACTCCTTCCTTGACCCATTGGTGTGCTATCTTGAAGCTTGAGAGAGGAGGATGACTTCTCCAATGTTGGGCTTGGAGCTTCATCTTTTTATGCTTTAAGTAATAAATGTAAGAATATATAGCCAGTTTAGTTTCTTAAGGGTTTTATGATGTTAGGGTTTCATGGGATTCAGGGGTTTTAATATATGGCTTAAGTGTTGCAATTAATGATTGCTTTATGTGTATTTAATGTAGGAACATTGATTCAAATGGTAGGGTTGAATTGGAACCACCATCGGAACCCTTTTTAGGTTAGGGTTCCATTATTAAACTCTTTAGGATTTACGAGTAAGTACTTTTTCCTTTGTAATTGATGAATTGAGTAATGGATTCATGTGTAAAATGAGTTGTTGATTGGGTTGATTGCTTATAATAGGTGATTGTTGATGAATTTGTGTTGTTGGAAGTTGGAACATAAAGGTTGAAAGCTATGGAATCAAACATTGGAGAGGTAAACTCTTGGACCTCGGGATTAGTCTCACTTATTGTTCCATCATGCTCTTTTGGAGTAATGGTTATTGTATTGGATGATTGATTGGATTGTTAGAGTTTGGTGTAATATGCATTCATATAGAGAGTCATTATTTATTGGTGTACAGGCCAAAGAACAAGCATTATAGGTTGGATTACATGATTAGTGTAGGGACTAGTATGCAATTGGATGTCTGATATGATATGCTTACGCATATAGCCAAGGAATCATGAGTTTATTGGTTAAAGTTCATTGGCCAAGAGAATTTGGTATGGACTTCCTTTTGAGGGATCTTTCCGATGGAACTTAGTTCTAAGGAGTTCTATATAGACATTCACTTGACGTACAACTCAT